CCTCCACCAACCAGAGTGGAGTTTGAAAGCGCAAGAAAGGCCTTGGGACTGTGATTGGCCAACAGGTGTTGACGTCACAGCCTCGTGCAGGTTTCCCGAGATAGTTAGGAACCTCATTCGGCCCCAGACTTCAAGAGATGAACTACGCTGTGCCCCAGGGACCAGATTGAGGAAAGATGTACAGGTTCGTAAGTGCTTGCGTAACTGCTTCGTGAATCTGGCCCCAGAGCTCTAGGCAAAGTCAGTCTATCTAAATCTGGTGGTACAGAACTCTTTGTATCCGAGAAACAAGCCAAGAGCCGGATCCCTGGTGAACTTTCATGGTACAATTGGCTTTACATCGTACTGGAAGGAGGAGTTACTACGAGACAACGGTCCAGGACGAGCCCAGACTACGTGTTCGTCTAGTTGGTACAGCAGTGTGTGTGAAGTAGCAGCAACGTGTGATTTCACAGGAAGCAGAGAGAAAGATAGAAAGATAAGTGAAATCCAGCCTAACTAATTCAGTGGAAGACTCAGTGTCGTACGTGAGTAAGAAAGAGAGGAGTGATTGTGCATCTAGCAGTGAACATCTGAAGGAACAATTACGTGAGAAATATTTCAGAAGTCTGAATAGATTATGGGCGTCAGTGAACGAGAGGCGCTTCACTATAACGTGAAGTGAGGAAAGTGTGAGATATTTCCCCTGGCCTCAGGCAGTGTGGAGCCCCGCGCCCCGAACAGAAAAGGGGAGTCGTGAGTGTGGGGCACTCCGCCATATTTGTTGTCACGGAGTGGTGTGTGTGGGAGAACATCCAAGACTGTTTGCGTGAGAGTCAGTATTACTGACCAGCTGGCATTGTGCCACCGAATTATCACCTGGATTTACTCTGTCATCTGGAGAGCTGGCGGGTGAAACCTTCTCCAATATTGTTGATACAGTATTGGGTTTTCCTCGCTTAAATCTACCTGCAACCCGGAAGTGTCATCAGCAACAGCATTGAACGGTCCTGACAGGTGTGAAATTGTATTCAAGTACCAAGTCCCGGGATACTTAACATTGTGCACATTGGTTTTGGTGTTCAGTAGTCACTCAATCTCGTGTCATCAGAGCATTAACTCGAAGTTTGGATCTAAACACTGGAACTTCAGACAGAATTTGCTCTGTCTTAAGATCCAGTGAGGTTGTCAATGTGTAATCTGTCACTGAGTGACAGTTCTAATCCTTCTAGTGTCTAGTTACTAGAGAGGGAGGGAATTATCAGGGGAAAGCATCAAGCCATTGAGACTATACAGCACTCGGAAGGGGGTCAGGACAATGATTTAGGATGGGACGGATGGAAGGAATGGTGCTTAACACTTCTACGGTCGGGGATTGAACGCTGACCTGCATTACGCGAGACTTTCGCTCTACCGTCCAGCCCAAGTGACTGGAATTACTAGAGAAGTGACCGACGAGCCTGTTGTGTGTGTAAATAATATATTTAAATAAATAATGTAAATGTTCATTTGTTCAAAATCGCTAACTTCCGAAAGTTCTTCACCGTTTGCTTTGAAATTTTGACAACGTTCCATTCGCATAGAAGTGTATTTTTATATACATATTAGCTGTCCCCGGCCACGCGTTGCTGTGGCTCAGCAACGCGTGTGCTGCTGAGCCACAGCTTCACTCCCCTGTTCCCCCCTGTCCTGCCGACCATTCCCCCCCCTCCCCTGTCCCCTCGTCCTCCCCACCATTCCCCCCCCCTCCCCCGTCCCCTCGTCCTCCCCACCAGTCCCCCCCCTCCCCTGTCCCCTCGTCCTCCCCACCACTCCCCCCCTCCCCTGTCCCCTCGTCCTCCCCACCACTCCCCCCCCTCCCCCGTCCCCTCGTCCTCCCCACCATTCCCCACTCCCTCATCCGATGTGTTCTCAAATTATCTGATGTTCCCATCATTAAAATGGGAACAACAAATGATCTGATGTTCCCATCATTAAAATGGGAACAACAAATGATCTGATGTTCCCATCATTAAAATGGGAACAACAAATGATCTGATGTTCCCATCATTAAAATGGGAACAACAAATGATCTGATGTTCCCATCATTAAAATGGGAACAACAAATGATCTGATGTTCCCATCATTAAAATGGGAACAACAAATGATCTGATGTTCCCATCATTAAAATGGGAACAACAAATGATCTGATGTTCCCATCATTAAAATGGGAACAACAAATGATCTGATGTTCCCATCATTAAAATGGGAACAACAAATGATCTGATGTTCCCATCATTAAAATGGGAACAACAAATGATCTGATGTTCCCATCATTAAAATGGGAACAACAAATGATCTGATGTTCCCATCATTAAAATGGGAACAACAAATCATCTGATGTTCCCATCATTAAAATGGGAACAACAAATCATCTGATGTTCCCATCATTAAAATGGGAACAACAAATCATCTGATGTTCCCATCATTAAAATGGGAACAACAAATCATCTGATGTTCCCATCATTAAAATGGGAACAACAAATCATCTGATGTTCCCATCATTAAAATGGGAACAACAAATCATCTGATGTTCCCATCATTAAAATGGGAACAACAAATCATCTGATGTTCCCATCATTAAAATGGGAACAACAAATCATCTGAAGTTCCCATCATTAAAATGGGAACAACAAATCATCTGATGTTCCCATCATTAAAATGGGAACAACAAATCATCTGATGTTCCCATCATTAAAATGGGAACAACAAATGATCTGATGTTCCCATCACTGAAAAATAAGAACAGTTAAAAAAGCAAAATGAAAATGGAAAAAACAAATAAAATAAACAATACTCACGAAATGAACGGCATGGTAAACAACACAGCTCAACGGCATGGTAAACAACACAGCTCAACGGCATGGTAAACAACACAGCTCAACGGCATGGTAAACAACACAGCTCAACGGCATGGTAAACAACACAGCTCAACGGCATGGTAAACAACACAGCTCAATTCCAATGCAATTTCCCACAAAATAAATAAAAATAAAAATATATCAAAATCTATGAAAATTCAATTTATCAATGCAATCGCAAACAATGAAATGGAATCGTAACATATTTAATATGGCAAGTGCTGCTTTTACGTGCAACAGATGGCGCTGTTTTTCAAAAAAACATGTTTTAATCTGCCACAGGTGTGGCAGATTAAAAAAAAAAACTTTCATGTGAGGCAAATCTCTGAAACCTCTTTAGCGATTGTTTTGAAAATCTGATACAACGTTGCATTCGAATACGCGCATGTTTGTATATACCTACTATATACATGCCACCCTTTTGACTGGTAAAAATATGCTTTTTGAAAAACAACGCCATCTGTTGCAATTAAAAGCAATACTTGCTATAATATGTTACGATTCCGTTTCAGTGTTTCCGTTTGCATTGATAAATTGAATTTTCATAGATTTCGATTGATTTTAATTTTGATTTAATTATTTTGTGTGACATTGCATTGGAATTGAGCTGTGTTGTTTACCATACCCTTCATTTTGTTATGCCACGTCTGTGACAGGTAAAAACATGTTTTTTTGAAAAACTATCTCATGTTAGTTTTCATGCGAGGGAATTCTCCAAAACCTCTTTACCAATTGCTTTGAAATTCTGACAACTTTGCACTCGAATACTCTCGTGTTTTTATATACCTACTATATACATGCCTCACCTGTGATAGGAAAAAAAACATGTTTTTTTGAGAAACAGCACCAACTGTTGGACGTAAGAGCAACACACACTGTAATCTCTGAAAGTTGTTCACTGATTGGTTTGAAATTTTGAAATAACGTTCCATTCAAATACGTGCATGTTTTTATACCTACTATATAGATGCCACAACTGCGACAGGTAAAAACATGCTTTTTTGGAAAGACAGCGCCATCTGTTGCATGTAATAGCAACACACGCTATACTAAATATGTTGCATCCCATTTCAATGTTTTCGATTGCATTGATAAATTGAATTTTCCTAAATTTCAATTTATTTTCATTTTGATTGAATTATTTTGTGTGACATTGGGTTGGAATTGAGCTGTGTTGTTTACTATTCTATTCATTTCGTGAGTACAGTTTATTTGAAATTTTTTTTCATATTTTTTTTAACTGTTCTACTTATTTTGAAGTGGGTAGAATATAGTTGTGCATTAATTGGCTGTTGATTGAAAAAGTCAACACCAGCAATCAACAGCCAATTAATACACAACTATATTCTACCCACTTCAAGACTCCGTACCAATAAAGAAGCATCAAGAGGAAGTATCGGCCAATAGGCCCTTTGTAGTTGCTTCCATTCTTCCCTCTCATTTATCCAATTTATACCCATTGCACCGTGTTCTGTCTTGTGTTGGTCAAAAGTTGGTTCACCTCATCCAAAACTGTTGCAACATATCACCTCCCTCAAATGCGAGTATATAAGACAACCTGTTCAATGTTAGCATTAAGTAAAACTGTTTAGTGTTTTCAGGTTACAGTTGTGTGTGTGTAAACTAAAGTCTTTGAAAATGTAATAAGGTATTACGAAACGCGTTCAAGCGTCGCGTCAGACTAGAAATAAGAATGAATTTTGGAGAATTTATTTTTCAATTACCATCAACAGTAAAAAGAAACATAAGAAATATTGAGAAAATTCGTTTTAGAATTATTAATCTTACTTTTTCGGTCATATTTAACAACACAGTATGTACAGTGCATGTACAGTGCATATACAGTGCATATACAGTGCATATACAGTGCATATAAAGTGCATATACACAGTATGCACACTGTATGCACACTGTATGCACACTGTATGCACACTGTATGCACACTGTATGCACACTGTATGCACACTGCACTCCTAGGAGTCCCCCAAGACCCAATATTCGTTCACTGTGGTCAATAATCAACCGTACACTGAACGCTCTGTTTCACAATGTTTCAGTCACTTGTCTTATCTCTGTTTATATTCAGCTGGTGTTACAAGTTCTCAGTGACGTCTAGTATGGATGTCAGCATCGTTGGAGCTGGAGGGTGGGATTGAACCCCCGTCTTGGACCTTCTCAGATGCTCACTGGGATTATGGCGCGTGTTTAGAGCGTGTCAGGACGCTGGTTCGATCCCACCATACTACTCCAATGGTCAGATTTAAAAATGTACACACACTGATAAACAATATTTAAAGGACCTGTAAATATAAATAAAATACTAGTAAAAACAATTAAATATTACTAAAAAACAAATGCTAGTAAAGTTATATTATTTTAAATATGGTATTGCAATATTATATTTTAAATAAAGCCGCTTGATACATTTATTTGAAGTAATTGATAAATGTATTTTGATTAATTAACTTTAAAGCTATTCCTATCAAAAGCTTTAGCCGAATTCTGATATAAACAGCGACGGAGCTTTAAGAAAGCATTACTTTATGCCAGCCATTTAGAACATTAGTTAAGTAAAACAAAATTAATAGACTTTTTTTGAATCAACACTTTGTAAAGTTTTAGTATGGACAATTGCTGCCTGCCCCGCAGCCGCTGCCTGCCCCACAGTCGCTGCCTGCCCCACAGTCGCTGCCTGCTCCACAGCCGCTGCCTGCCCCGCAGCCGCTGCCTGCCCCACAGTCGCTGCCTGCTCCACAGCCGCTGCCTGCCCCGCAGTCGCTGCCTGCTCCACAGTCGCTGCCTGCCCCACAGTCGCTGCCTGCTCCACAGCCGCTGCCTGCCCCGCAGTCGCTGCCTGCCCCGCAGCCGCTGCCTGCCCCACAGTCGCTGCCTGCCCCACAGTCGCTGCCTGCTCCACAGCCGCTGCCTGCCCCGCAGCCGCTGCCTGCCCCACAGTCGCTGCCTGCACCACAGCCGCTGCCTGCACCACAGTCGCTGCCTGCTCCACAGCCGCTGCCTGCTCCACAGCCGCTGCCTGCCCCGCAGCCGCTGCCTGCCCCACAGTCGCTGCCTGCTCCACAGCCGCTGCCTGCTCCACAGTCGCTGCCTGCTCCACAGTCGCTGCCTGCCCCACAGTCGCTGCCTGCTCCACAGCCGCTGCCTGCTCCACAGCCGCTGCCTGCTCCACAGTCGCTGCCTGCCCCACAGTCGCTGCCTGCCCCACAGTCGCTGCCTGCACCACAGCCGCTGCCTGCCCCACAGCCGCTGCCTGCCCCACAGCCGCTGCCTGCTCCACAGTCGCTGCCTGCCCCACAGTCGCTGCCTGCTCCACAGCCGCTGCCTGCTCCACAGCCGCTGCCTGCTCCACAGCCGCTGCCTGCTCCACAGCCGCTGCCTGCCCCACAGCCGCTGCCTGCTCCACAGCCGCTGCCTGCTCCACAGCCGCTGCCTGCCCCACAGCCGCTGCCTGCCCCACAGCCGCTGCCTGCCCCACAGCCGCTGCCTGCTCCACAGCCGCTGCCTGCTCCACAGCCGCTGCCTGCCCCACAGTCGCTGCCTGCTCCACAGCCGCTGCCTGCTCCACAGCCGCTGCCTGCTCCACAGCCGCTGCCTGCCCCACAGCCGCTGCCTGCTCCACAGCCGCTGCCTGCTCCACAGCCGCTGCCTGCTCCACAGCCGCTGCCTGCCCCACAGTCGCTGCCTGCCCCAAAGTCGCTGCCTGCTCCACAGCCGCTGCCTGCTCCACAGCCGCTGCCTGCACCACAGCCGCTGCCTGCTCCACAGCCGCTGCCTGCCCCACAGTCGCTGCCTGCACCACAGTCGCTGCCTGCTCCACAGCCGCTGCCTGCTCCACAGCCGCTGCCTGCACCACAGCCGCTGCCTGCTCCACAGCCGCTGCCTGCCCCACAGTCGCTGCCTGCACCACAGTCGCTGCCTGCTCCACAGCCGCTGCCTGCACCACAGCCGCTGCCTGCTCCACAGCCGCTGCCTGCCCCACAGTCGCTGCCTGCACCACAGTCGCTGCCTGCTCCACAGCCGCTGCCTGCTCCACAGCCGCTGCCTGCACCACAGCCGCTGCCTGCTCCACAGCCGCTGCCTGCACCACAGTCGCTGCCTGCACCACAGTCGCTGCCTGCCCCACAGCCGCTGCCTGCACCACAGTCGCTGCCTGCACCACAGCCGCTGCCTGCACCACAGTCGCTGCCTGCACCACAGTCGCTGCCTGCACCACAGTCGCTGCCTGCCCCACAGTCGCTGCCTGCCCCACAGTCGCTGCCTGCACCACAGCCGCTGCCTGCCCCACAGTCGCTGCCTGCACCACAGCCGCTGCCTGCCCCACAGTCGCTGCCTGCCCCACAGCCGCTGCCTGCCCCACAGTCGCTGCCTGCCCCACAGTCGCTGCCTGCCCCACAGTCGCTGTCTGCCCCACAGTCGCTGCCTGCCCCACAGTCGCTGCCTGCCCCACAGTCGCTGCCTGCCCCACAGCCGCTGCCTGCCCCACAGCCGCTGCCTGCCCCACAGTCGCTGCCTGCCCCACAGTCGCTGCCTGCCCCACAGTCGCTGCCTGCCCCACAGTCGCTGCCTGCACCACAGCCGCTGCCTGCACCACAGCCGCTGCCTGCACCACAGCCGCTGCCTGCACCACAGCCGCTGCCTGCACCACAGCCGCTGCCTGCACCACAGTCGCTGCCTGCACCACAGTCGCTGCCTGCCCCACAGTCGCTGCCTGCCCCACAGTCGCTGCCTGCCCCACAGTCGCTGCCTGCCCCACAGTCGCTGCCTGCCCCACAGTCGCTGCCTGCACCACAGTCGCTGCCTGCACCACAGTCGCTGCCTGCCCCACAGTCGCTGCCTGCCCCACAGTCGCTGCCTGCCCCACAGTCGCTGCCTGCCCCACAGTCGCTGCCTGCCCCACAGTCGCTGCCTGCCCCACAGTCGCTGCCTGCCCCACAGTCGCTGCCTGCACCACAGTCGCTGCCTGCACCAGAGTCCCCGCCCACACGTGAGGGTCAAGCCACCTACCATCCTCCTCATTGTGCTGGGTCCTCAACCGTCAAACTCCGTTGCAGAGAATGAACGAAAATTCGATATTGCAGCTTCTCTTACTGAGAAAAATTACGTCATATATACACTTTGCAATATATAATGGATCAAAAGTGCTAGACCTCTCAACTTGCTTCAGAAGATTGTTACTTATTAAGTTAAGTGAAGTGTTGGAGTTCCTGAATCCTTTATGTGGCACTTTAACTGTCTCCACCACCGCCCACGGGATGGGTATGGTGTCCACCACCACCGCCCACGGGATGGGTATGGTGCCCACCACCGCACACGGGATGGGTATGGTGTCCACCACCGCCCACGGGATGGGTATGGTGTCCACCACCACCCACGGGATGGGTATGGTGTCCACCACCGCCCACAGGATGGGTATGGGGTCCACCACCGCCCACGGGATGGGTATGGTGTCCACCACCACCGCCCACGGGATGGGTATGGGGTGCACAATAAGTGACTAAACTATTAACTACCTCACTGACAGGTAATCACCTTCACGGCGATGGCGGTGGTCAGTAACCACCGCCAACCTGACCTCTCGGTCATTAATAAGCTTTCAAGCACTAAAAGACAGATCAAACTGTCCAAAGCTCTTGTTCTCTGCTAAGCTGTTCTGGGCATCCTTAACAGCCCTGAACTTCGGAACTGAACTAAGCCAGTGAAGTAATTGCATGGTTGGCAATGTATTAACAAGCGCAGTATTAAATAGAAAATTCAAATTGTTTTTTGTTGGGAGAATCTTTTGGTATAGATATTTCTTCATCACGTCAGAGTGCGTAAGTCAGTAGCCTAGTGTCTGAGTGAAGGTGTCGTGGTGTAGTGTCTGAGTGAAGGTGTCGTGGTGTAGTGGCTGTGAGTGAAGGTGTCGTGGTGTAGTGGCTGCGAGTGAAGGTGTCGTGGTGTAGTGGCTGTGAGTGAAGGTGTCGTGGTGTAGTGTCTGTGAGTGAAGGTGTCGTGGTGTAGTGCCTGAGTGAAGGTGTCGTGGTGTAGTGTCTGAGTGAAGGTGTCGTGGTGTAGTGGCTGTGAGTGAAGGTGTCGTGGTGTAGTGGCTGTGAGTGAAGGTGTCGTGGTGTAGTGTCTGTGAGTGAAGGTGTCGTGGTGTAGTGTCTGAGTGAAGGTGTCGTGGTGTAGTGTCTGTGAGTGAAGGTGTCGTGGTGTAGTGTCTGAGTGAAGGTGTCGTGGTGTAGTGTCTGCGAGTGAAGGTGTCGTGGTGTAGTGTCTGTGAGTGAAGGTGTCGTGGTGTAGTGTCTGTGAGTGAAGGTGTCGTGGTGTAGTGTCTGAGTGAAGGTGTCGTGGTGTAGTGTCTGCGAGTGAAGGTGTCGTGGTGTAGTGGCTGTGAGTGAAGGTGTCGTGGTGTAGTGTCTGAGTGAAGGTGTCGTGGTGTAGTGCCTGAGTGAAGGTGTCGTGGTGTAGTGTCTGTGAGTGAAGGTGTCGTGGTGTAGTGGCTGTGAGTGAAGGTGTCGTGGTGTAGTGGCTGTGAGTGAAGGTGTCGTGGTGTAGTGCCTGAGTGAAGGTGTCGTGGTGTAGTGTCTGTGAGTGAAGGTGTCGTGGTGTAGTGGCTGTGAGTGAAGGTGTCGTGGTGTAGTGCCTGTGAGTGAAGGTGTCGTGGTGTAGTGTCTGAGTGAAGGTGTCGTGGTGTAGTGTCTGCGAGTGAAGGTGTCGTGGTGTAGTGTCTGTGAGTGAAGGTGTCGTGGTGTAGTGTCTGAGTGAAGGTGTCGTGGTGTAGTGTCTGCGAGTGAAGGTGTCGTGGTGTAGTGTCTGCGAGTGAAGGTGTCGTGGTGTAGTGGCTGCGAGTGAAGGTTTCGTGGTGTAGTGTCTGCGAGTGAAGGTGTCGTGGTGTAGTGGCTGTGAGTGAAGGTGTCGTGGTGTAGTGGCTGTGAGTGAAGGTGTCGTGGTGTAGTGGCTGTGAGTGAAGGTGTCGTGGTGTAGTGGCTGCGAGTGAAGGTGTCGTGGTGTAGTGGCTGCGAGTGAAGGTGTCGTGGTGTAGTGGCTGCGAGTGAAGGTGTCGTGGTGTAGTGGCTGCGAGTGAAGGTGTCGTGGTGTAGTGGCTGCGAGTGAAGGTGTCGTGGTGTAGTGTCTGCGAGTGAAGGTGTCGTGGTGTAGTGTCTGCGAGTGAAGGTGTCGTGGTGTAGTGGCTGTGAGTGAAGGTGTCGTGGTGTAGTGGCTGCGAGTGAAGGTGTCGTGGTGTAGTGGCTGCGAGTGAAGGTGTCGTGGTGTAGTGCCTGAGAGTGAAGGTGTCGTGGTGTAGTGCCTGAGAGTGAAGGTGTCGTGGTGTAGTGTCTGCGAGTGAAGGTGTCGTGGTGTAGTGTCTGAGTGAAGGTGTCGTGGTGTAGTGTCTGAGTGAAGGTGTCGTGGTGTAGTGTCTGAGTGAAGGTGTCGTGGTGTAGTGTCTGAGTGAAGGTGTCGTGGTGTAGTGTCTGAGTGAAGGTGTCGTGGTGTAGTGTCTGTGAGTGAAGGTGTCGTGGTGTAGTGTCTGTGAGTGAAGGTGTCGTGGTGTAGTGTCTGTGAGTGAAGGTGTCGTGGTGTAGTGTCTGTGAGTGAAGGTGTCGTGGTGTAGTGGCTGCGAGTGAAGGTGTCGTGGTGTAGTGGCTGCGAGTGAAGGTGTCGTGGTGTAGTGGCTGTGAGTGAAGGTGTCGTGGTGTAGTGGCTGTGAGTGAAGGTGTCGTGGTGTAGTGGCTGTGAGTGAAGGTGTCGTGGTGTAGTGGCTGTGAGTGAAGGTGTCGTGGTGTAGTGGCTGTGAGTGAAGGTGTCGTGGTGTAGTGTCTGTGAGTGAAAGCGTCCATGCCTGAGTACAGGTCTTGTGCGTTGCTGTAATATTTGAAGAGTGCGTCTCTGTTACAAGCTTGGCCCCACTCCTTGTGAGAGTCTCGGAGCGTAGACTCCTACCTTGACCTTCTGAGCCCAAGCGGCTCTGCTTCCTCAGTGTGCAGATCAAGAGGTCGGGGAAGTTGGGTCAAGAGGAAGATTTGTGTGGTCTTCCTCCCGCTCAGATGCTTATCATAACTTCTGACTGAATTACCTCGACGGGCTGGAAGCAACTCGACCTTACGACCACTCTAGTTCATCATTGGTACACCAGAGCTGGTCGTCGACCCACCAGAGCTGGTCGTCGACCCACCAGAGCTGGTCGTCGACCCACCAGAGCTGGTCGTCGACCCACCAGAGCTGGTCGTCGACCCACCAGAGCTGGTCGTCGACCCACCAGTGTCATGGTGGAGGTCATGACACTACAGTTGACACTCACTGTGGAGGTCATGACACCAGAGATGACAAACTGGTCCACGACCACACTCCCTCACACACTTCCACTCACACTCACCCATACACACACATGTACTAGCCGGCTGATAGAGCGAAAAACAGCAGTAATAATAGTAGGCATTAAGGAGCAAACCTGGTCCAGTCCGGCGGAGGGGAGAGACAAGGACAAAAACGAAGTTAATGAGATCCTTAAGGGGGTAAAGATGGAGAGGGGTGACCAGAATATTGAAAAGGTTTTCAGAAAAAAAGGTTTTCAACAAGGACAGAGACCGATTGATAAAGGTGGTATTGTAACACTGTAAAAGTGTTTGGTTTAGGTTAATACATACATAGAGTACATGAGTCAGAGACAGGGATTAGAGAAGGCGCCAGTTGTCTGCCTGAGATCTCGCACCTCAAAGCGTTAATGACCTCAAGTGACCTGAGGTCAGATCATGAGAATTTCACCTTGCTTCCGCTAAGCTTATAATTGTAGTCTGGTAGCCTTCAAACATGCCGACGTTTAAGGAGTGGCTTGGTAGTGCCGGAGGCTACCTACTTGTGGGCGGAGTTAGCTACTAGGTTCCCCAATATATACTGAGGGAGCATAGAGCATTGAGCATTAAGAGAACAACAGCAGACGAGTCAGCAGAGCAGAGCAGACGGCCCTAGCAGGGAGGCTGTCGGCCGGCAGGGCGGGAGTCTCCGTCAACTACAGACCCCCCCCCCCACCTCTATCCAGCTATAGGCAGAGATACTTGGTGAGTTGAGCAGTAAGGTGACTTGGTCGTGTTTACATATGTTGTGTGATGATCAGGGGCAGTCAAGTTGTAGGGTTCTCGAATTCTTGGATGATGACTCACTTTGCATATTAAACTGGAACATTTTAATTGAATTGCTAAATTATGATACTTCATGGGAAATATAATTATGAATCTATTATTTAAATTGTGTTTAACTTTGTTCCCTAGAGCTTTGAGTTGAGGTGAGAAAGCCTCGGTGGTTACTAGATTCAAGATATTAATGAGTACATGTTTGGAGTTGATACATGGTACAGAGGGAACATACTAATAATGAACTCATGATAACATCCTTTGAGAATTTTGTGATACAGGCAAGTTCCATTCCTTGTCTTGTATGTAATGATCATGAATGGATGGTGGTAGCATTTCGTCTTCTACTATCTACTCTTCTCCTTCTACCTATCTACACCTCTCCCTCCACCCTTCTCTAAACTCTCACTTTCAACTAATGACCCTCCTTGCTCCTCCCACCTCTCTACCTCTCACCCCAAACCCTCACTAATTACTTCACTATTCATTTCTTTCCTTTCGTTTTCTCTTATACGTTTGTGGCAATGATTCTGTATTCTAGAGTTCTCTCTAGAGTTTCGGGTAGCTGATCCAGTTACGGCGCCTTGTAGTCTTAGCATCTAGGTAGTCAAATACCTAGGTTACAAGGTGTTGAACGAGAGAGGTTGCCTTAGGAACTCTGGAGGGTGCTCTAGAATAGTTAGCTAACTGGGGACGGGATAACGGACTAGAGAGAGCTGTTTCCCCCGGCCTCGTTAGTTAACTGGGGGGTGGAATAATGGACAAGATAGAGCTATTTCCCCCACCCCCCGTTACAGTATTCGCTAGAGAGAACACAATAGAGGACCTGTTAGCAAGGAAGAGCAGACTAGCAAATGTACTGAAGTTCAAAAAAGTATTCCTGCAGAGGGATATGACAAGGGACGAGAGAATGAGGGAAGCAGTCGCTAGGAGGGAGCGCAAGACGAAAGAAAGGAACCAGGGAACACAACACCAAACCCTACAATCCCAGAGGGGAGAGAGGAAACTCTCTACAAGCAACTCAACAGCCACAGTGAGAGAAACACCGCCCCCACCTTCCACCCAATAGACATCCTACCTGCCCCCAACCCCTGCCAGCACCCCACTAGCTGCCCACCTAGGGCACCCTTCCCCCATTCCCTTCCTCCCCAGGATCTCCCTTCTCCCCCACTCCCCTAAGCCCTCCCTTCTCCCCCACTCCCCTAAGCCCTCCCTTCTCCACCACTCCCCTAAGCCCTCCCTTCTTTGTCACCCCCCCCCCTTCAGCCCTCCCTTTTTCACCCCCCCCCTTCAGCCCTCCCTTCCCCCTTCCCCAAAGCCCTCCCTCCTCTTCAGCCCCCCATTCTCCCCCAAGCCCTCCCTCCTCCCATACACCCAGAAGTATGACCTTCTACCACACTCCCCCAAGCCTCCCCCTCTCACCCCCTCCATGCCTCTCCCTCACCCCCACCCCCCCCCAGCCCTCCCTCCTCAACCTCCCTCATCATACCAGATCCTCCCAGCCCCACACACCCCAGATCCCCCAGGTTCCCCTTCCTAGGCCCTCCCATCCCGGACCCGTCTCTGTTTCCCTGCTTCAGGGGAACCAACAGAACTAAGAAAGGACAGAAGAGAGTCAGTTTCAGGGTGATGTACTCAAACATAGATGGGATCAAAAGCAAGGCAAGTGATCTAAGGGAAAGAGCACAAGAAGTGAACCCAGATGTAATTGGACTCACAGAAACAAAACTCTCAGGTATCATAACGAATGCGGTATTTCCCCAGGACTACGTTGAAATAAGGAAAGAGAGGAAAAGAAAGGGAGGAGGCGGAGTGGCCCTACTAATGAGAAAGGAAATAAGTTTCAAGGAGATGGTTATCCCGGGCTGCAAGGGATTCAGAGACTACATTACAGGCACCATGACAATGGGAGGACCAAGAGTAGTAGTGGCAGTGACATATAACCCTCCACCCAATGACAATACCCAGGCAAGAGTATGACAACAACAACATGGCAGTTAACACTATAATTGAGTGAGCAGCCTTTGCTGCCTGTAGAAATAGACCCCATCTGCTCATCATGGGGGACTTCAATCACGGAAGTATAGACTGGAAGAACAAGGAACCGCATGGAGGTGATTATACATGGAGAACTAAACTATTGGAGGTGGCAACAAGAAACTTCTTAAGCCAGCATGTCAGGGAACCCACAAGGATGAGAGGAAACAATGAACCAGCGAGACTCGACCTAGTCTTCACTCTGAACGACTCTGACATAAGGAAAATCGGTTTCGAGACCCCAGTAGGAATGAGCGACCACAGTGTACTGACGTTTCAGTATCTGGTCGAAGAAGGGTTATTGAACTCTAGGAGAGGTACTGAAAACAAAAGGCTGCGATTCCGAAAGGGAAACTATGAGGAGATAAGAAAATTCCTAATAGATATAACATGGGAAACAGAACTCAGTGGAAAGACGGCCCAAGGCATGATGGACTACATCACATGTAAGGAGGCAGCAGACAAGTTTGTCCCAGTCCAAAAGGAAAAAAATGAAATGAAGATGAGAAACCCATGGTTTAATCAGATGTAGGCTAGCTAAGCACCAAAGTAAAAGGGCATGGAGAAACAATAGAAATAACAGCAGAAAAACACTTGAAAGCAGACAAAGATACCAGAATGCCAGGAATGAATATGTCAGGTTGAGAAGAGAGGCAGAAAGACAATACGAAAATGACATCGCAAGCAAGGCAAAGACTCAACCTAAATTGCTGCACAGCCACATCAGGAGAAAAACAACAGTAAAGGAACAGGTAATGAAATTAAGGATAGGGGCAGACAGATTCACTACAAACGACAAGGAAGTGTGCGAGGAACTGAATAAGAAAATCCAGGTCTTCACATTAGAGCAAGGAGAAGTTACAGAGATGAGAGAGGAAATAGTTAACCAGGAACCACTAGAAAAGTTTGAGATTACCAGTGGGGAAGTAAAGAAGCTTTTGCTAGAGTTGAATGTGACAAAGGCTATAGTCCCAGATGAAATCTCCCCTTGGATACTGAAGGAAGGAGCAGAACTGTGCCTGCCACTCTCCATAGTCAATAACAAATCACTGGCAACAGGGGAACTCAAGAATTTCGAAGACTGCTAATGTAGTCCTGATATACAATAAGGGGGATAGACAGGAGGCACTGAACTACAGGCCAGTGTCCCTACCTTGCATACCATGCAAGCTGATGGAGAAGATTGTGTGAAAATAGCTAGTGGAACATCTGGAGCGAAGGAACTTCGAAACACAGCATCAACTTTGCTTCAGAGATAGCAAGTCCTGCCTCACAGGCTTAATTGAATTCTATGACCAGGCAACAAAAATCAGGCAAGAAAGAGATGGGTGGGCAGACTGCATATTTTTAAATTGCCAGAAAGCCTTTGATACAGTACCACACAAAAGTCTAGCGAAAAAGGTGGAGATGCAGGCAGGAGTGAAAGGGAAGGTACTCCACTGGATACAGGAGTACCTAACTAACAGTAGACAGCGAGTCACTGTGAGGGGTGAGGTCTCAGATTAGCGAGACGTCACCAGTGGAGTCCCGCAGGGGTCAGTCCTTGGACCTATACTGTTTTTTATATGTATATTTACATAATCATTGTTTGCTGATGATGCCCAAATTATGAGAAGGATTAAAACAGAGGACGATAGTAGGAAGCTACAAGATGACCTAGACAGACTGAATGAATGATCCAACAAATGGCTGCTAAAGTTGAACTCAAGTAAATGCAAGGTCATGAAACTAGGCTGTGGAAACAGGTGGCCAGACAAAGGGATACAGAATAGGAGATGAAGTACTTAATGAAACGGACAGAGAGAAAGATCTAGGAGTTGATATCACACCAAACCTGTCTCCTGAAGCCCACATAAAGAGAATAAGGTCTGCGGCATATGCGAGGCTGGCTAACATCAGAACAGCGTTCAGGAACCTGTGTAAGGAATCATTCAGAATCTTGTATACCACATATGTAAGACCAATCCTGGAGTATGCGGCCCCAGCATGGAGCCCGTACCTAATCAAGCACAAAACGTAGCTGGAAAAAGTTCAGAGGTATGCCACTAGACTAGTCCCAGAACTAAGAGGCATGAGTTACGAGGACAGGCTGCGTGAACTGCACCTCGCGAAACTAGAAGGTAGAAGAGTAAGGGAGACATGACCACTACCTACAAAATTCTCAGAGGAATTGACAGGGTAGATAAGGATAAATTGTTTAACACTGGTGGTACGCGAACAAGGGTACACATATGGAAACTGAGTACCCACATAAGCCACAGGGACGTTAGAAAGAACTTTCAGTGTCAGAGTAGTTAAAATATGGAATGCATTAGACAGTGATGTGGTGGAGGCTGACTCCATACACAGTTTCAGATGTAGATATGACAGAGCCCAGTAGGCTCAGGAACCTATACACCAGTTGATTGGCAGTTGAGAGGCGGGACCAAAGAGCCAGAGCTCAACCTGGTGGACTGACAGATCTCCCAAGAAGGAGCCTGGTATACACTCCTCCTGTAACAGTTGTATCGAGCTCCTTAAGATGGTCTAATCCACCCCTCTCGTCCACCTAAACCCCACCTATAGTAATTATCAACGGTTGCCGGATTGACCGGCAACCAACCCGGCAATGGTTGCCGGATTGACCCCTTTCCATGACGTTACCAGCTTCTGGTCAGAGCTTCCGGGGTAGATAACCTGGGGACAAGCTGATTGAAGGAGTTACAGCCTCGCTTCTGTGCCAGGTAAGTCCACAACGGGCTCGCCATACCCCGTGCTACTTTGGAACTTTTGTTCCGAGTAGCTGAATCTAAAAACAACAAAAAGTGATTGAAGGGTCCTACGGGTTATTCATGCCCATGCCACCTCTTGGGTGGTTAATCTTTATCAACAGATTGAAGGAAAATTGTGAGCTTGGAGACCATTGTGAGTCTTCTGACTCGAGTGCATATTGTGTGGACGGAGAATGAGTGGGATGAGGCTCTAGGAGTTACAGGGAGGCGAGTCTCCAGGCGAGACAGTGAGAGGCGAGTCTCCAGGCGAGACAGTGAGAGGCGAGTCTCCAGGCAAGACAGTGAGAGGCGAGTCTCCAGGCAAGACAGTGAGAGGCGAGTCTCCAGGCAAGACAGTGAGAGGCGAGTCTCCAGGCAAGACAGTGAGAGGCGAGTCTCCAGGCAAGACAGTGAGAGGCGAGTCTCCAGGCAAGACAGTGAGAGGCGAGTCTCCAGGCAAGACAGTGAGAGGCGAGTCTCCAGGCAAGACAGTGAGAGGCGAGTCTCCAGGCAAGACAGTGAGAGGCGAGTCTCCAGGCAAGACAGTGAGAGGCGAGTCTCCAGGCAAGACAGTGAGAGGCGAGTCTCCAGGCAAGACAGTGAGAGGCGAGTCTCCAGGCAAGACAGTGAGAGGCGAGTCTCCAGGCAAGACAGTGAGAGGCGAGTCTCCAGGCAAGACAGTGAGAGGCGAGTCTCCAGGCAAGACAGTGAGAGGCGAGTCTCCAGGCAAGACAGTGAGAGGAGAGTCTCCAGGCAAGACAGTGAGAGGCGAGTCTCCAGGCGAGACAGTGTGAGGCGAGGCTTCAGACCTGACAAATGTCTTTCTGGTGTCCTGGACGTAGTTCAACACATCGGGTAATCGAACCTGGTGATTGGAATCAGATAATAAACGTCAATATCAGACTTAAATACATATCTTAGGTCTATGTTATCACATGTTATCATCAATGTGATAACTGAAGGCCAGAGACATTTCTCGCCTTAAAAAATATTTTAAATGGATGGTGGCATCACCCTCCTCCTGTCCTTCTAATCCTATCCCTTCATCCCTAATACTCCCATATTATCCTTTTCATTTACGTCCCTAATGCTGTGTCAACTTTCTCTTTCACTATCTCATCCCACCTTCCTTGTACCTGTATCTTACCCTCTTTCCTCCTCCCTCCTTTCCCTCTCTGCTTTAGTCCTTCTCCCTCTGGATTTTGTTTTTACTCTTTCTCCTTTCATCTGTATTCCATAATCCCCCCCCCCCCTGTTACATCCCAGTAAGGAGGCTTGTAGACTCCCCCATCAAGGAACCTGGAGGTCTCTTGCTGTAGGGGGGGGGGGAGGGCCTGGTGTACTCCCCAAACAAGGAGCCTTGTAAACTCCTCCAATAAGGAGCCTGGTAGACTTCCACAACAAGGAGCCTGGTATAGACTCCTTGAACAAGCAGTCTGGTATATCAGAATTCAACTGATACTTCCTTTCCTATTCTCCTGTCCACCTTCCCTGTATTTTACTCCCTCTCTCTCTCTCTCTCTATCTCTCTACCATGCTCAATCCCTTCTACCCATTCCAGAGGTCAATGGTCAGCTAGCTAGGCTTGCTGGTGCCGGAATTTTCATTTTTTTCAACAAAATTAAAACTAATGGCCTCTGTTATGAGTAGTGTTATCTACCCCTTCTTAAGAGGACTCAGATTAATGGGACCAAATTCTTCGAGGAATTAATTACCATCTTGGACTGCCTTTGAGCAGCCTGAGGGCACTAACATTCCGGTAACCCTTTCTACCACCGCCCACGGGATGGGTATGGGGTCCACCAAAGCCCACGGGATGGGTATGGTGTCCACCACCGCCCACGGGATGGGTATGGTGTCCACCACCGCCCACGGGATGGGTATGGTGTCCACCACCGCCCACGGGATGGGTATGGTGTCCACCACCGCCCACGGGATGGGTATGGGGTCCACCACCGCCCACGGGATGGGTATGGGGTCCACCACCGCCCACGGGATGGGTATGGTGTCCACCACCGCCCACGGGATGGGTATGGTGTCCACCACCACCCACGGGATGGGTATGGTGTCCACCACCACCCACGGGATGGGTATGGGGTCCACCACCACCCACGGGATGGGTATGGGGTCCACCACCGCCCACGGGATGGGTATGGGGTCCACCACCACCCACGGGATGGGTATGGGGTCCACCACCACCCACGGGATGGGTATGGGGTCCACCACCACCCACGGGATGGGTATGGTGTCCACCACCACCCACGGGATGGGCATGGGGTCCACCACCACCCACGGGATGGGTATCGGGTGCATAATAAAAATAAACTGAAGTGGAGTGGGGGGGGATAGAATTATTTACGTTGTAGATCAGGATTAGACAGTGTGAGGCACGACCAGTTTACAGGTCAATATGGTTACAGGTCGACCTGTCCACAAGTCTACGTGTAAACCTGTCCACAGGTACTCAGCGACCTCTTACCAGTCAGCCCTCTTCCCTCCACCAGTTGGTTGTTTATAGGCCTAGTGGCCACAGGCTGAGTTGAGCGAGGGGGGGGGGGGGGTTGGACAAGTGTTAGGGAGGGGAGTTAACTTCGGAGCTCATTAACTGTTTAATAATTGTAAACAAAGCCGCCAAAGATTGAGAAAAGATGTACAGGTTCGTAAGTGCTTGCGCAACTGCTTCGTGAATCTGGTCCCAGACAGGGAGGTGCCTGCGTACACTCACTGTCTAGGGACAGCCGGAGGTTGACGGTAACTGCTTGTTAAGCTGCCGACAATGGGTTGACCCCCAAAATATGCAGGCAGCGTATTTATTAGAGTAGGGAGTAATTGTTTCTTATTACGGGCTATTCACGCCCATGCCACCTCTTGGGGGGCTGAATCTTCATCAGTCAATTGGTTCTCATGAATACATTACTGTTTGACTGTTTTTATTGCTATTTCTGTTTATTTCCTTTTTGTCATTTAATTGAGCATTTATTTACCTGATTTACCTGAGGGTCACTAACCCTAGTGGTCTCGACAAGGACAGGAAGCCGGTGGCTTGTCGAAGCTCCCCCACCCCCACATTTGCCTTGATTGATTGATTTGCCATTTTATTTGTTTTCCAAATATATTTTAAAACTCAACACAGTTTTGGCATTTACGGTTTCGGCGGGTAGGCGGCTCCATGGGGTTAATAACCCTGTGGGGTGAAAAAGCATCTCTTCTCATTGTGGCTTGTTGAGATCATTGAAACTCATTGTTGAGTTTCAATGAGATCCACCCTGTCATGCCTCGTAGCCTGGTGGATAGCGCGCAGGACTCGTAATTCTATGGCGCGGGTTCGATTCCCGCACGAGGCAGAAACAAATGGGCAAAGTTTCTTTCACCCTGAATGCCCCTGTTACCTAGCAGTAAATAGGTACCTGGGAGTTAGTCAGCTGTCACGGGCTGCTTCCTGGGGGTGGAGGCCTGGTCGAGGACCGGGCCGCGGGGACACTGAAAAAGCCCCGAAATCATCTCAAGATAACCTCAAGATAAGATGCCTGGCTTGTAGTGTTGTTAACCCTGTGGCCTTCAACTGTTCCTGATACGAGAGATGACTTAGCTCTGGGATGACTTTTGTTGCCCGGTGTTGCACCTTCTTCTAGAGCAGCTGTGTCCTTCCCAAAAAATATAGCACGTGATCTTGAGCTTACGTGATCTTGAGCTCACGTGATCTTGAGCTCACGTGATCTTGAGCTTCTATGATCTTGAGCTTCTATGATCTTGAGCTTCTATGATCTTGAGCTTCTATGATCTTGAGCTTCTATGATCTTGAGCTTCTATGATCTTGAGCTTCTATGATCTTTAAACTTATTCAGTGATTTCTCAGCCCGTCCTCCAAACAAAGTCCCCGAAGTGATTCCATCCACTCGCCAAACCCGCTGTTTATGAATGAAAAACGGTTTACACACGACTCAACTGATTTCGTCCGAACACTTCCGGAACAAGTGCTTCGCTGACGAATTTTGTTCGAACCACAACGCTGTAAATGCTTCACCCACGTACTACAAATACAAATAATCGCCAACAGAACCTAAACACCTAACCTAACCTGTGTCTATATATGCACAATATGCTCATATATTATAATATTAATTTATATTTGAGAAAAATCCCGTTTTGAATGAACAGCATGTAAGAATTTATGATTGCGTCTGTGGGGTCGACCGCTGGATGTAATGGACTTGAGTCGAGGACTGGTTTTGATTTCTCTAAGTGATTAAATATCTAAAATAATTATCAACAAGCAGGAAGTAATAACCTATAATTGTCACCTCAATAATTACCGAAGGAGGATCTAAGCCCTTTTGCTCAATATTCTTGACCCGTCTCCTTTGGATCAAACCAGATCATTAACTATCCTTAATGAGGCAACCCGTTCTCGCAAATTCGTAAAGTCAATATTGACTTATTAACTACGTGCATAGGTGATATACTAAACATAATAGATACCCCTAAAAAGAGTCATAGAAAACACCGACCTTACCTAACCTTGTTAGTATCTTAAGATAAGCATCTTATTGCTTCGTAATTACAATTATTACTTAACCTATACCTATTATAGGTTTGGTAATAATTGTAATTACGAAGCAATAAGATGCTTATCTTAACATACTAAGTAGGTTAGGTAAGGTCGGTGTTTTCTATGAATCTTTTTAAGGGTATCTATTATGTTAAGTATGTCACCTATGCACGTAGTTAATAAGTCAATATTGACTTTACGAATTTGCGAGAACGGGTTGCAACGAGGACAGGTGGCAGCATTAACTACATATTAGTGCATATAATTTGCCTTTCCATCAAGTTCAGACAATCCTCTTCGTTCCGCGTCCTAACTACCAGTCCTGACCTGAACTACCAGGAGCCGGTCGGCCGAGCGGACAGCACGCTGGACTTGTGATCCTGTGGTCCTGGGTTCGATCCCAGGCGCCGGCGAGAAACAATGGGCAGGATTCTTTCACTCTATGCCCCTGTTACCTAGCAGTAAAATAGGTACCTGGGTGTTTGTCAGCTGTCACGGGCTGCTTCCTGGCGGTGGAGGCCTGGTCAAGGACTGGGCCGCGGGGACACTAAAGCCTCGAAATCATCTCAAGATAACCTCAAGATAACCTGAGAAATATTGCTTGTGTGGCTCCCTGTAGGGGTGAGCGCAACTCGTCTTCCATGGTGTGAATATACATGCATTAGTGGTTAGTCAATCATTGTTGTTAGTCAATCAATCTGTCATTGATGAGAGAGATCGTTCCTATTTATTGGGTGTATGATACACAGGTTGACCACCCCCCAACAAGGAGCCTGGTTGACTCCCCCCCCCCCCCAACAAGGAGCCTGGTTGACTCCCCCCCCCCCCCCAACAAGGAGCCTGGTTGACTCCCCCCCCACCCCCCGCCTGCACTGTCCTGCCCATCTGTTGCGTGGGTGACCCTCACACACTCACCCATACGTGGGTGATCCTCTCACACCCACTCACCATACGTGGGTGACCCTCCCACATATGGGTGTGTGTGTTGGTCTCAACCGACCAACAGCCTACTAGGGACAGAGTCAAATACAAGGAGTAACATTTATCAATCACGTGGGACAGGGGATAGTAGCTGGAGTAGAATACTTGTAACTTTGGAAAGTTGGGGGATAGAACCCAGCTGTCCAGGGTGAGTGGTTGAGAGAGAGAGAGCCACTGAGGCACCAGTGTGACGGCGCAGCTGGTGCCTGCAAGGTGCCACAAGGAGTGCCAGTCCTGTTGCACTGCTCAGATGGCATAGATGATCAAGGACATATAACGGGCTGCTTCTTATAGCGGTCACAGGTCAAGTGTGCGAATCCTGGTCTTCTCGACGC